AAATTCTGCCAAACGGGCCTCTCGCGCCGCATGCCGAAATCATTCGAACGCCCTTGCGCGCGCGCTGGGGGGGCAGGGTCCGTATCAACTGATACCTCGCGGCTGCTCTCGCGCGTCGGCCGCGCGCGCATGTCGAACTCCTTCCAAAATCTGCATCACCGACGCGAGGACGCCGTCATCATCGCGGATGCGATCAGCATCGGCGCCGTCACTTGCTGCGCCGTCGTCGCTGTCAGCATCGTCACCAGTAGCACTACTATCATAATCGTGAGTGCCCACTGGGATATGCCCAGCGGTCACCACCTCCGCGGCCACGTCGGCTGCGCCAGACCAGCTGGCCGCTACGCGCGCGCGCATGCGCGGACTAGCGCGGCCGCAGAAACGCACCAGCCAACGCCAAGCACTCATTGCACTCGCCGCCACATGGGTTTCGCAAACCACGTTGCGGGTGGTTGGGTGGGATGTTTGCATGCGCGTGGAACGTGTCAAACCGCTTGTTTAAAAGATCAATCGCATCGAACAAATACTCCTCTCTCATAAAGAATCGACTCTACCCCCCTCCCCCCCCGGAGTCAACGATCCCCCTTGGGTTATTGTGATTCATATCCCACCAGCCCTTTGGGCGTGAGTGGTTTAGAGAGCCCGCTCTGTCCTCAACCCCCCTTCTCCCCCTTCGGGGAGGGGTTTACCCCTCCCCCTACCCCCTTCCCCCTGGGCCTGGAGAGGTGGTCCCGCGGGTCGTCAGGGGGGTAAATTTCGACTCCTGGGAGGGCTAAAAAACGACACTCCTCACGAGGATTCTGCCCCCGACGGGGGGAACGAGAAAAAACCCTCTCCTCTTCTTTGAAGGCAAACTCATTGATTGTACTACGGTTTCGGCCCCATTTTGACATTCTGAGGGGGCCGCGCTCCTCTTCCTTCATAGCAAAATCATTGATTTTACGTAGGTTTTGGGCTCATTTTGTCCTTCTCAGGGGGCAGCGCTCACTTGCGCTTCTGAGGAGGTCGCCAGAGGCCCCAAGATCAAGAGGCCCCCAAGAGGCCCCCAAGAGGCCCCAAGAGGCCCCCAAGAGGCCCCCAAGAGGCCCCCAACAGGCCCCAAGAGGCCCCAAGAGGCCCCCAAGAGGCCGCCCCCACCCCCAAGCCCCCAGGCCCCCAAGAGCCCCCAAGAGGCCCCAAGAGGCTCCAAGAGGCCCCCAAGAGGCCCCACGAGGAGCCCGAACGACTCACACCAGGTCGAGGGGCCCGAACGACTCACACCACGAAGAGCCCGAACGACTCACACCACAAGGAGGGGCCCGAACGACTCACACCAGGACGAGGCGCCCGAACGACTCACACCACGAGAGCCCGAACGACTCACACCAGGACGAAGAGCCCGAACGACTCACACCACGAAGAGCCCGAACGACTCACACCAGGACGAACGAAGCCCCGAACGACTCAAACCACGAGGAGCGCTTTCTCTCCCTCCTCCTCCGCCTCGTCCTTCTCCCGCTCCCACCACAAGGAGGATGTACAAGGAGGCGGGAGGAAGGAGGAACAGGGGAGATATGCGGGGGCAGGCGGAAACACGCCTGAAAAACACGACTGTCGGCATGCTTCGCTAGAGTTGTTGTTTTGAGATGGGCTGGTGGGGATACGCGAAGCGTGAAGAATTTCTTCTTCACACATGTCCATCCGATATATGAATTCCTACTATCCCAGCCAAACCGGTAGCATTCCCCCCCGCCATCCTTTGCGAAAACCTACGATTCGCGCACTCCCGTTTATCAAAGTCATAAATTGCAAGGATCCCTTTTTCAAGAAAACAGGACGAAGTGCGCACGCGCAAGTCGTCGCGCGCGTATGCCAAAATCCCTCAAGAACCTTGGTCGCGGAAGGATTTCAAAATCGAGCTCCAAGCAAAAATCCGCAACACTGATGGCTTAAAAAAAGCTTACGCGCGCGCTCTTCCGAAATCTTAAGGAAACCAACGTTTTCAAGATTTTCCATATATACATACATACATACATACATAAATACATACATACATAGATACATACATACATACATACATACATACATACATACAAATATAGACACTACCAAACAAGCTTCGCGCGCGCATGTGTCGAAATCTGTCGAACGTCCTTGCGCGCGTGCCGTCGCGAGAATCCTCTGCAAAAAACAGGACGAAACGCAGACGCGCGCGTCGTCGCGCGCGCATGCCGAAATCCTTCCACAACCTTCGGTTTCGGATGTCAAAATCGTGTCCCACAAACACACACACACACACACAAAAAAAAACACTTGGTTTCGCAACACGGTTTTTCAACAAAAAGCATACAAAAAGCGTGCGCGCACGCTCTTGCGTCGTCGTCGTCGTCGTCGCCGTCCTCCCTCCTCCCTCGTCGTCGTCGTCGTCGTCTCCGCCGTCGTCCTCTGTCTTTCCTCGTCGTCGTCGTCTTGGCATCGTCGTCGTTTCCGTCGTCGTTGTCGCCGTGGTCGTCCGTCCTCCCTCGTCGTCTTCGTCGGCGTTTCGTCGTTGTCCCTCCTGTTTCGTCGCCGTCGTCGTCGTCGTCGTCGTCTTCCCTCCTCCCTCGTCGTTGTCGTCGTCGCCGTCGTCGTCGTCGTCCATCTTCCCTCGTCGTCGTCTTCGTTGGCGACGTCGTCGTCGTCGTCTTCGTCGTCGCCGTCGTCGTCGTCGTCGTCGTCGTCGGCGTCGTCGTCGTCGGCGGCGTCGTCGTCGTCGTCGGCGTTGTCATCGTCGTCGTCGTCGTCAGCGTCGGCGTCGTCGTCGTCGTCGGTGTTGTCGTCGTCGTCGTTGTCGTCGTCGTCGAAGTCGTTGGAGACGTCGCCGGTGTCGTCGTAGTTGTTGTCGGCGGCGTCGTCGTCGTTGCCGCTGTCGTCGTCGGCGTCGATGTCGCTGCCATGTGCCATTTGGTACCCACCGTCGCGGTCTTAAGAAGTTTTGCGACCAAGTTGCGATGGGAATGTGGGATGTTTGCACGAGCAATGGATAGGACAGCTTCATGTTGACCAAGGGAATTGCACCACATATACTCCCCCACATAGACTGTACCAAATCGGTTGCATAACATTCATCAGTCACCATTGATTGCACATCGCATACTACACCGCATAGATTGCACGACATAGAGCGCACAGCATACATTGCACATCATATATTTCACAACATTGACTCTCCTCTATAAAAAGAAACTACATTCTACCCCCATCACCCCCCCGGGGTTATCCGTTACGCGCTTCGATTGGAAATTCACATATGATCGCGACCCGTCGTTCATTTTCCCGATGACTCCATACCACCCCAGGCCAGCCGGCATCGACCCCCCCGCCTTCCTGTGCAAAAAAAACTATGCGCGCACACTCGTTTATCAAAAATCAGCTGTTTCCAATATTCCTTTCGCAAAAAAAATTAACGAAATGCACACGCACGCGTCGTCGCGCGCACATGCAGAAATCATTGAAGGACCTTCGGTTCCGGAGTGATTTCAAAAGCGAGTGCCCATTTTTTAATGTCTACCCCCCCAAAAAAAAACGCAACACGGATGCTCAAAAAAAACGTGTTCGCACGCTCTTGCGAATCTTGGAAAGAACCACAGGCTGCTCAACATGTTCAAAAAATGTTGCCAAACGGGCTTCGCGAGCGAGCATGTCGAAACCGTACGAACGCCCATGCACGCGTGCCGTCGCGAGAACCCTTCGCAAAAAAAAGACTTACACACGCGCGCGTTGTCGCGCGTGCACGCCGACATCCTTCAAAAACCTCCGGTTTCGGACGCATGTCGAAATCGAGTGTCCAAAAAACACACAGATACATAAGAATGTTTCGCAACAGGGATGTTCAACAAAAGCGCGTGCGCTTTTGTAAATTCTTGAGAAGACCATTTCAACATGTTCAGAAAACGCTACCAAGCAAACTTCACGCGCGCATGCCGAAATCTTTCGGACGCCCTTGCGAGCGTGCTGGGGTGGCACGACCCGTGTCAAATAGCACCATGCGAGCCACTTTCGCGCGTCTGCCGCGCGCGCATTTCGAATTCCTTTTTTCAAAACCTTCATCACCGACGCGAAGACGCCGTCATCGTCGTCGGCGTGACCAGTCTGGTGCCGTCGCTGGCTGCCCCGTCGTCGCTGTCAGCATCGTCGCCAGCATCGCTACTATCATCATCGTGTCTACCGTTGTCGACATTGCCATGATACCGTGCCCGCCCAAGCCGCCGGCTCGCACTGAAGTGCCCGCTGGGATGTGCCGAGCGGTCAGCGCCACCGCGTTCGCGTCGGTCGCGCCAAACTAGCTGGCTGCTGCGCGCGCGAGCACGCGTGGGCTAGCGCGGCCGCAGAGATGCACCAGCCAACACCCAGTACTCATCGCAATCGTTTCCGCATGGGGTTTGCAGACCAAGTTGCGGGTGGGTGGGTGGGATGTTTGCGCGAGCAGTGGAGTGGACAATTTCAAGTTGAGCATTGGTGAATCACATCACATACATCACTCCACATATATTGATCCACATTGCGACGTCCACATATACATATACATATATACCTGTAGCTAAAAGCACACTGCTTGGGGCCCACACTGACTAATATACATATGTAAATGAATACATGTACATATGTATGTACACATATAAATATATGTGTGTGTAAAATACACATAGCTAGGTCGAACTATATAGCTATAAATGAACTGCTGTTGTCACCGTTGCCGTCGCTGCTGCCGATGAATCACGATTGTCTTGTCCATAGGTGGCTGTACTACTGTTGTTCACGGCACTGCTGCTAGTGCCGTCCTACTCGCCTTCAGTACCATGCTCACCGCTATCGTCATTACCATCCCCCTCCATGCGTACGGCCACCATCATTACCCTCATCACCACCACCATCGCATCATCACACTGTAGTTGATCGAGTCAATGTGTGCGTGGGAGTCCTCAGAGCGACGTGGAGGGTGGAGGGAAGCGAGGGGGGACGACGGCGGGGGCAAAGCAGGCCTTCGCAGCGATGGCGTAGTCTTTCATACCCCATTCCATGATCTTAAAGTTCGAGCGTTGCTGGTAGTGCTTGGTATACACCGCACCTGGAGGCATGAATTCCGCAAGTGCACTCACTACGTTCCTCCTGCAGCCCTAGCTTCACCATCCTCTGCTTCACCCCGGCCTCCCTCCCTCCAACCATCCCCCCTCCCTCTCACCTGTGCCCCCCGCCCCATCCCCCCTCCTGCCGTCCACCCGTCGCTCTCTCCCTCCCTCCTCCCTCCCTCCCTCCCTCCTTCACGACCCATCCCTCACCGCCCACTCTCACCAGCCATCCCCCCTCCCTGCCTCCCTCGCACTCCCCGCCCACCCCAAGACGCCCCCGAGAGGCCCGCAATATCTCTCTGCGTCCCCTGCGGCCGCCGAAGGGCGCAGGCGCGCACCGAGGCCAGCGCCCTTCCTGGCAGCATCGAGTCAGACCCTCCCCCGGAGGGTCCTCCTCCTCCTCCTCCTCCTCCTCCTCCTCCTCCTCCTCCTCCTCCTCCTCCTCCCCCTCCTCCTCCTCCTCCTCCTCCTCCTCCTCCTCCCCCTGTCCGCATCCCCCCCCCCTGGTCACGACGACACCCTGAACTCGAGACGGCCCCTGAAATCCTGGCGTCGCAGGTTCTGCCTTGTCTCGAGCCCTTGGACCCTCACGGGTCGATCCTTTTCGAAGAACACCGCGGAAAGATGGGGTCCAGGGCTCCGGTGGACTCCTTTCACGATGTTGCAATTATTCGTGCTATTGGATCTCAGGGTCCGAGACAAAGCGGACATAGCAGGGCTGAGCGACGGGCAGCCGGGGTGTGCCCGCGAGAAGGCAGGAACGACAACCACGCACACACGCACACACACACACAAACACACACACACACACACGCACACACACACACACACACGCGCGCGCGCACCCACGCACCCACGCACACACACACACACACACACACACACACACACACACGCACACACACACACGCACACACACGCACACACACACACACACCGACACACACACACACACACACACACACACACACACACGCACACGCAATCTTTGGCGGTCGCGGCTTCGCGCGCGCAGCGACGAGGCGGAGAAAATCAAGTGCGCGCCGGGCTCACGAGGGGCGGCATGCCATCTGGGCGTGGATAGCGGGGAGAAAGGGAGGGACGAACCGACCACCGACCGCGGGGGGGGTCCCGCACGGGGGGCGCCATAGGCGACACGACAGGCGACACGGCAAGCGTGCGGTCGACCGGCATGCACTCCGCGAGTGAACGGGTCACAGTCGAGGACGACGGAGAGCGGACGTCGGTGGAAGTGACATTATCCCAGTGCGACCCTACCTAGGAGTTGGAACCCCTAGGAAAGCAGCATTAGTAGTAACAGTAACGCTAAGCTAAAGCTAAGCTAAAGCTAAGCTAGCTAAGCTAAAGCTAAGCTAAGCTAAGCTAAAGCTAAGCTAAAGCTAAGCTAAAGCTAAGCTAGCTAAGCTAAAGCTAAGCTAAGCTAAAGCTAAGCTAAAGCTAAGCTAAAGCTAAGCTAAAGCTAAGCTAAGCTAAAGCTAAGCTAAACGCTAAGCGAAAAGCTAAGCGAAACGCTAAGCTAAAGCTAAGCTACAGCTAAGCTAAAGCTAAGCTAAAGCTAAAGCTAAAGCTAAAGCTAAAGCTAAAGCTAAAGCTCCCAGGGGACTGGGGGGAACCGCTCCCAGGGGACTGGGGGAACCGCCCGGGGCGTGTTCCACTGCCCGGCCCCTTTAAGCTAAGAGATTAAGAACCCTTCTAGGCAGAGCCTAGGTAGGGAAAAATGCCGTGGATCACGCTCAGCGCCTTGACGTGCGGCGCCCGTACACACACACACACAGACAGACACACACACACACACACACACACACACACACACACACACACACACACACACACACACGCGCACACGGCCTCGCGCGCAGCGACGAGGCGTGGATAATCGAGTGCCACCGCGCGCGGACCCCGCGCCCGCCGGAGGCTCAGAAGCGGGAAACCCCGCGCCGCAGGCCACCCGGGCGTGGGTGGCCGGCGAGAAGACGAGACGAAGGACGGCGAGAGAGCGACGGACCGTGGGGCGAAGGGTCCCACCAGGCGACGGCCAGGCGAAAGAGGACGGCAAGCGCGCGCTCGACCAAAGCCGCGAGGAGGCCGAAAGAGAAGACGAGACGGTACCGCCGTCGGGGAGGCGAAAACCGGGCGGCGCTAGCGCCGTGGTGGAGGGCGCCTGTGGGGCCGCGGGAGCTGCCGAGACGGAAGGCACTGCTGGGTGGTGGATTCCTCGGCGCGGTCTTGCGCAGCTCACTGAAGAACCAACGCAAACACCGAATTGAAGAAGCGACTGAGTTGCTGAGTAGAGAAAATGAGAGGATATAAAGGTCGGGCTCCCAGTCGCCCATTTCCGGCCCGTCGTTGATGACCCAAACGCGCAAGAAGCATGCCGAATAGTCGGTGTTAGGGCCCCCGTGATCCAACACAAACACACACACACACACAAACACACACACACACACACACGCAGTGTTTGACGTCACGGCCACGCACGCAGATGCGTAGCTGAGCCTGGCTAAAGTCAAGGAAAAAGCTTGGCCGCAGGCCAGCTCAGACGGAGTAGGGGCATGCCGCGACCTATACATATATATATATATATATATATATACAAATGTCGCACTGTCGCGATCCCCATCCGAATATGATTCAGGCCACATGCTCCTCCCCATTGCTCTCCTACCCCCCCCCCCTCTCCCAATTGTCCGCAACCACCTCGCTCCCTGGGCCAAGGTGGCAGTCAACGGGTATTGAAGCATGTGGGCGTGCTTCGCATACCTCCGCTCTTAACGTCGAAAACGGACGTGATGCTTGTTATGGCTATGGCATTGCTTCGACAAAGGAAATAAGCATGCATGAGCACGAAAACAAAAAAAACACCAAGCAGAACACATCTTAAGATCTATGCTGCGGGTCCAGCAACACGCTGCATGAGCAAGGCTACCAGGACTGCAACCTCGATAAGAAATTACACTGCGCAAGACACCATCGGGAACATCTCACTGGACACGAAAGCTCATGCCACGGAGATGTGCGCAGAAGGAACGGCAACAGCTGGGGAGGAGCACAGACCATCTGCTGCTGCTGCGGCTCATCCTCCTCCTCATCCTCCTCCTCCTCCTCCTGCGCCTCCTCTCCTCCTCCTCGTCCTCCTCCTCCTCCTCCACCTCCTCCTCCTGCCTGTGTTGGCCTGATTTCTGCACTCAATTGGTCCACAATGGGGCAGCCCTGCACACCGCCACCTCCTCCGTCACGCGCAGTGGAGGCCGAGGCAGACGCCTGGGCCTGGGCGCCCAGGCCTGGGCATGTGCACGTAGCGCCTTGAACCTCAACACCTGGTCCTCCTCATCCCCTGAGGGCGAGGGGCGTCATGAATAGCCCCCCGCTGCTGCCTCCTCCTCCTCCTCCTCCTCCTCCTCCTCCTCCTCCTCCTCCTCCTCCTCCTCCTGCACATTCTCCTCCTGCACATCCTCGTCATCCGGAACAACAGCAGCAGCAACAACAACAACAACAAGGGAACGCCGGTTTTCTGAGCCCCTTCCAAGGGGGTGAGCTTCCCCGTCGCTCCCCAGAGGAGGCACGCCGGGTTTCTGACGCCCCCTCTGGGGACGGGGGGGGGCACCGCATCGCGTCGCCCGGGCTTACAGGCCAGCCTCCGATGGGAATGAATTCGATTACCAGATCCCATCGACGAGGCTAAGGCGCCTACAAACGCCGAAAGTTCCCAGGCCATGTCGCCCCCACGCAAGCTCGGCATCTAGTAAACCCATAATGACGAATCCCGGCTAAGGAACCCTTTTTACTCAAGAATCCTCACAAAGACCATATGTGTCAGGAATATTTGTGCGAGAAGCCCTTACTACATAATCCTTACTAGGAAACCTTAATCCAGAATCCTCACTTAAAAAACCTGACTAAATAATGCTTCCTCCGAGAATCTGGATAAAGAAGCCTTACTGCGGGAATGTTACTCAAAAGACCTCACTCCGAGAACCCAAATAATGAATCCTGACGATGGGAGTCTTTCTCGAGAGTCCTTCCTACAAGCATGTGAATGACGAGCTTTTACTGCGCGGCTCCTACTCAAGATCCCTTTTACTAAGAACAGATTAGTAAATAAGCTGTACTACGGGAATACGACTCAAGACTTCTCAATCCAGGAAGCTTACTAAGGAATTGTTACTATGGGAATATAACTCTGAAGTCCTCACTGACGGAAGCTTACTGAGGAATTCTTAGCATGGGGATATAACGCGAGAGTCCTCACTGAGGGAAGTTTACTGGGGAATTCTTAGCATGGGAATTTTACTCAAGAGTCCTTACTAAAAATGACCTTAGTGAAGAATCCTTGCTGCGGGACTATTACTCAAGAGTCCTTACCACCAACAACTTACCAAAGAAGCATTACTACGGGACTCTCACTCAAGAGTCCTTACCCGCAACACCTTACCAAAGAACATTACTACGGGATTCCTACTCAAGAGTCCTTACCAAGAGAACTTTCGCAAGGAAGCCTTACTAACGGAGTATGACTTAAGAGTCCTTACTCAGAGAACCTGAATGAAGAATCATTACGATGGGAGTATTACCCAAAGGGTTTGTATTAAGAGAACCTTACTGGAGAATCCTTACGATGGGAATATTACTCAAGACGTCTTACTAAGAGAACCTCAATGAAGAGTCCTTACGATGGGAATCTTACTCCAGAGTTCTTACTGAGAGAACCTGAATGAAGAATCCTTACGATGGGAGCTTCATTCAAACATCCGCACCAAAAGAATATCGATAAAAGAAAAAACCTTGCTACGGGACTATTCCTCAAGATTTCTCACCAAGAGAACCTCAATAAAAAAAGCCCTACCTACTGCGGGAACTTCCCTCCGGAGTCCGTACTCCAAGAACCCGAATAATAAATCCTGACGACGGGAATCTTACTCGGGAGTCCTTAATACCTTAGCGAAACATCCTTATTACGGGACCCTTACTTCAGAGTCCTTACTAAGAAAACCTGAATGAAAGATCCTTACTACAGGATTCTTACTCCAGAATCCTTCCTAAGAGCAGTTTAGCCAAGAAGCCTCACTACGGCAATGTTCCTCCAGAGTCGTTATTCTGAAAACCCTACTACCGAAACCTTACTATGGGAGTCTCGCTCAAGAGTTCGTGCTACGAGAACCTGAAAGAAGAATCCGTACTCCTTGATGAGGAATCCTTACTCAGGGACTCTTACTCAAGAGTCGCACAACGGGAACAGCACTCAAGGATCCTTACACAGGGAGCCTCCGTGAAAAATACTTACGATGAGAACACTATTACAAAATCCTTACTACGAGAGTCTCAATGACGAATCCTTGCTACGGGGCTCTTACTAAAGAGTCCTCCCTAAAAGGACCTCGGCCAAAAAAATATGTCTGCGGAAATATTACTCAAGAGTCCTCACTAAAAGAAGTTTTACTGCTGGAATACTACTCTAGCCCTCACTAAGAGAACCTCCGTAGGAGTCCTCACGAAGAGAAACTTGATACATAATCCACACTACGAGAACTTTAGTGAAGAATCCTTCCTGAGAGAACCTTTGTAAAGAATCCTGCGTGAGAGAGAACCTTAATAGAATCCGCCGACCCCTTGTGGGTCTCTAGGCGTGTGGGATTCTTCCCCCCCAGAACCCCCCCTGGGGACCCCAAACCGGCAGTTTGACCCCCCTCCCACCCCACCCCCAGGCCCGGCCCGAACGCGTCATGGGAGCATAGAGGGCCCCAAAACAAGCCAAGAGAGCCCAAAGTGGGCCCCAAGACGATCCAAGAGGGCCCCGAATCGTCGAATGATCGTTCCAAGGCGCCCAAGATGGCATGCAGACGGCCCAATATGCCTCCAAAACGCCCAAAGACGGCCCAAGAGGCCTCCAAGAGGTCCTCCAGGAGGGCCCGAAAAGGCCAAGATCTTTTCCAGGAGTTATTGAAAGATGTTGGCATTTGTTCTTTTTGGGCATTCCGACCGCTCAAGACGGCCCAAGAGGCCCCCAAGATCGCTCCAAGATCACCCATGAGGCCTCCAAGATAGCCCCAGGACGGCCCAAGAGGCCCCCAAGACAGCTTCAAGAGGGACCCAAGAGGCCTCCAAGACGGCTCAGATGGCCCCAAGATGCCTCCAAGACGGCCCAAGATGCACCAAAAACCGCCTGAGATGGCCTCAAGATGGCCCACGACGGTCCTAGAGGCCCCTCAGAGGCCTCCAAGACGGCCCAAGAGGCCTCCAAGAGGTCCTCCAGGAGGATCCGAAGAGGTCAAACCTATTGATTTGCCTACGGTTTTTGACATATTTAGGCATTTGCTCTGGGGGAATTCCGACGGCTCAAGACGGCCCAAGAGGTGCCAAAGATCGCCCCAAGATCGCCCATGAGGCCTCCAAGATGGCCCCCGAACGGCCCAAGAGGCTCCCAAGACGGCCCCAAGAGGGCTGCCAGGGGCCTCCAAGACGGCCAAGATGACCTCCAAGACGGCTCAGATGGCCCCAAGATGCCTCCAAGACGGCCCAAGATGCACCAAAAACGGCCTAGAATGGCCTCACGATGGCCCAAGACGGCCCATGAGGCTCCCAAGAGGCCTCGAAGACGGCCCAAGAGGCCTCCAAGAGGTCATCCAGGAGGACCCGAAGAGATCAAAATCACTGTTTTCCCTAAGGTGTTTGAAAGATGTTGGCATGTGCTTTTTTGTTGCATTCCGACGGCTTAAGACGGCCCACGAGGCCCCCAAGGTCGCCCCAAGATCGCCCACGAGGCCTCCAAGATGGCCACATGACGGCCCAAGAGGCCCCCAAAACGGCCCCCTGAGGGCCCCGACAGGCATCCAAGACGACCAAGATGGCCTCCAGGACGGCTAAGACGGCCCAAGATACACCCAGGATGGCGTAAGATAGCCTGCACATGGCTCCAAGATAACCCAAGATGGCCTCCAAGACGGCCAAGATGACCCCCAAGACGGCGAAGATGGCCCCTAGATGCCTTCAAGACGGCCCAAGATGCACCCAAGACGGCCCAAGATGGCCTCAAGATGGCCCCAGACGGCGCAAGAGGCCCGTAAAAGGCCTCCAAGACGGCCCAAGAGGCCCCCAAGAGGGCCTCAGAGGCCTCGAAGACCCCTAGGACAGCTCCAAGACGGCCCATCAAGGTCCCAAGACCGCCAAAGAAGCCCCGATGACGGCCCCAGAAGGCCCCCGAACGGCGCCAAAGGGTGACCACAGGGAGAACCCGAACCCGCATCACCAGCCTTCGGCCCCAGCACGCCCCCAGGTTGACTCAAAAAGCCCCCAACACGCCCCAAGAAGCTCCCAGGGAGCCCGAACAGAGCCCCCAAACGCCCCCAAGAACCTCCCAGGAATCGGACAAGCCTCGTGGAATGTAGCCCTGGACGC